CATGTACCAGTTCGCCTTAAATTGCAATGTGATGAATTGTCACGATACAGGCTCACTATTTGATTTAAGAATTGCTTCTGTATTACCATTGTAGTGCATGTAGAATATATAATGGTTTCCGGTTGTATGTGAACAAATTATATAAAACATACTGCACGATAAGACATGCTGTAATGAAATAATGTGCTGGTTGAAGACCTCCCCACGCCATATCTGGCATGGGTGGCTTTGTTTGACCATTCTTCACCACGCTAATCAGTAAGTGTGTGTTGATATCACTCACCGCTGATGTTAGCAACGGCTGGGCGTCCAATTCAGATGACCAGGCACAGTGCACGAATTACTTTACCACTGCTGCCCCCATACAACATTTCATCAATATCATTATCGTCTATGAAGACTTCCTAATGCCATCACCATCCCTCATAGTCACGTGATATATGCAAATCATCTAGCCCTTGCATATGAGCTGATTTCATTACTCTATCTTCGTGGTAGATGTCCTCTTGAGCGTGTTGCCTCCTTTGTCTGCCACTCTGTCGTATTGCTCAATTAGTGGCCATCATCCATTTTTCTGATGAGCCAATATGATGTCACGCATATGTATTCTCTAAGCCATGTGTTCCTCTCTTTGCCTCTCAGGGTCATGCCAAATTTTGCCCCTGTTCATGCTCATTTGTGCACTTTGCAGCTTTTTTTTTCCATTTTCCTTGTCAGTGTCCATGGTTCTTGGTCCACATGTAAAAGTAGGTAATAATAACAACATTTACGAATAAAATCATGCATGATTCAATGCATAATGAGCATAATCGCAAGCCTCTGAAATACACTGCATTGCTGACAGCAGTGGTTAGAGGGTTTTTTTGGAATCGTGTCATCTCTCTTATTTTGTGAATTTAAAAGTACAATGCAACACAAAATTACTGTTGTTTATCAGTAAACGTGTACATGACAGCCCTTCTATAGGTAAAACAATCAATTTAAAACGTCCACCTCTATGTACTGCGCTGCCCATTCACCCATCAGTTCTAGTGCAGGACCTTGAAGTCCCATGTCCTTCTATTTTTAACTGCTCCCAACCCTGTAATGATCGGGCTGTTTACAACGTGTCTGTGACATATTTAGTTCATGCCTTTCAATAAATCTTAGAGCACATCCATGCGTGGCTTGACAAAGACTACGTCTAGTCAGGCAAAAGTTTACCCACCCCGCATCTCTTTGACGCACAGATATGCAGAGGTAGAAAGGTGTTTTGGGTCACGTGACTCGTCATGCGTAATTAACCTTGAGTCAAGGAGATAAGGAACTCCTCAAGGGGACAACATTGTGTGTTGTATGGGTTGGCGACTTGTCTGCCTTCATCCCAGTTAACGTGGTTCGGTTGGCCAACGTTGGGACAACTGGTCCCACCGCGTGCCAACGTTGGCCCAACGTTCACTGGGATTGTCTGAACATGGAAGCTGGACAAAAGCGATGAGTGGCCAATGAAGGTTTGCTCCGGTTTGAATGATAATAGTTTTCTAGACGTGGATTGATTTGTCAAATTTAGCCCACAGGTTTTTTGGTATTCTTAAGGTACAGTAGGAGCTTACTGGAGCTTTGCAGTCAGATATTTTGCTTCTTGCATTTTACGTCTCACTGCTATCTTAGACCACTTAAATTCAGCAATAATTAATGTTTATTTGAACAAATACATTCACCGCAGAAAGCAAACAGTATCGCCTAGGGATGTGTTTCGGATTAAACATTTTAGATTTTTGACGCTTGAAGCACAATTCGGCACATTTTTCGTGTTTTTGGTTCATGAACATTACGTACTCACTTAAAATGAACCTTATGGATGGTACCCCGGGTTACCAAAGTGCCCCGGCTCTCGCATAATGTCTCCGTGATGCAGTCACTGTTAGTTTGTTGACGGTCGGCGTTGCGACAATCGACTCATCCCGACGAGCTGTACACTCACGATGCACCACCACTACGGTGCGTTCCCAGCGTTCGGGGTTTCGGAGCAATCACCCTCGCTGCGTTTCGACATCGCGGAGTGTGGCACCACCGATTTTGGGATTGATTGGTTGCCCCAGCCGCGGAGTTCAGTAACACCCCTCGGAAGAACAGTGTCCCAGAAATAAAATATTTAATTTGCCTCGGCCCATTTTGTATTATTTGCTACCCCGGGGTACCGCTACAAAGATACAATATATTTGTGCTCATAATAATGCTGTCGTCTAATGTCACGTGACATCACTTTGGGGGGGGGGGGGGGGGTGAGGACAAATCACGAAAGTGATGTCTGTTTTCAGATCGAACTGAAATTCGTTTTAGTTTCTAATTTCCCGAAGTTTAGAATCTAGGATATATTTTCTAAATTTTCAGATCAATACGAAAATCGGGAACCCATCCTTATACTGTAATATCGCCCCATAGTCTCAACCGTAACACAGTGCAAAGCAGACTAGAGTACACTATTCCTATTCAATACCGGTACTGCAAAGTAGATCGAAAGTTTTATAACCAGCACAAGACCCTTGTATCTAACTCAGCCACTTGGTGGCAGCATTGCTCATTAGAATCACAAATCAATCAACCATTCGATGTAATATACAGTACTGTATTCACATTTCCGAATAAGGGCAAGAGTTGCTTTGAAAATGTCCCACGCATTGGTAGAGCTGAGCTCCACCTGCCACGCCACCAGATGCCTCAATCCCTACGCTTATCCGATGTGCTGTGAAGAATGACCATTGCCTGAAACATTCACTTAAAGGCAGTGTTATTGTTTTTGACGTGTTGTGTTTTTTATAATTTGAGCTTGAGCACCATTGCTAGCGCAGTGTCACCAAAATAATGCATTTCAGAATCAGAATCTTTATTTATCCTGGAGAAATCCTATGAGCTATTAAGCTCTTTTTCACAGATGTCCAGTAGGGGCGGGTCAGAAATTTACAACAATAAACTACATTTAAAAAAAGATAGGAGTGCAAAGTATATGAAAGGTAAGCAAATCACAAAAAATATTAACTAAATATAAACAATTTTTATTTATTAACCAGCCAACCTGGCCACATATGATAGCTCAACGAAGTGGCTTATGTGGAAATTCATGTGGAAATGTCCATTAGGGGCGGGCCATGAAGTTACTTCAAAAACGAAATGTTGAAAATGTCATGGCTTTATGCGCATTGTAAATTTCCAACACAAATACAATTATTTTACTTGTAATATTTGAGCTCAATAAGCCTCAATATTTTGGTCTGTAAAATGTTAAACTATTCAAGTAGTTTCAACTGACCCAGTGAGCACTTGCTGGAAGAAATAAAAATGTCACGTTTCAAGAAGAATGTAATGAGTCATCATACAGTAGAATTCACATTCTGGATGTTATCGTTGACTAATGTCTGAAGTTAATGGGGTCCTGCATTGTGATGTTTAACCAATGCCTTATTGTTGCTTGTTGGTGGTAAACCAGTACCTGGAGAAACCCCACACGTAGCAGGGGATCATGAAGAACCGCACGTTGACAAGTCTGAGGTTAACCCACAAAGTAATTTCCCACCTTATAAGGTCCTCTGATCTGACGTTTCCCCAATGTAACAGCCACCACCAGTGCAACTTAGTTTGTAGACTCCAGGATATTGCAATGTCAGGAATGACATCCTTCACAGATGGGATTAGATCAGGGATTTTGTGTACTGTACTGAATCGGACCTGGATCTTGTGTTTGTTTAAGATTTTGCAAATCTTTTTGGTAACGCCTGCTATGTATGGTAACGTGATGGTTTTGATCGGCGTCTCAGGGGGGTTGTTTCTCCATGGTTGGAAAAAAAAACAGCTTTGCGAATAATGCGGTCCGAGTAGCCATTCATCTTGCTGTGGGTTTCCCACCTGATGATGATTGAAATGTACTCTTTGGTTTTATTCGGTAAAGTCACGTAGGTAAAAAATAAAATAACAAAAATCACTCCACTCACTCCACTCACTCACTCCACTCATTCACTCCACTCATTCACTCCACTCACTCACTCCACTCACTCACTCTACTCACTCAATCCACTCACTCTACTCACTCACTCCACTCCTCCACTCACTCACTCCACTCATTCACTCCACTCACTCACTCTACTCACTCCACTCATTCACTCCACTCACTCACCCCACTCACTCGCTCACTCCACTCTACTCACTCACCCCACTTACTCCACTCACTCCACTCACTCACCCCACACTCACTCCACTCACTCTCTACTTCCCCCCGCTGCTGGTCCGTTATGGTCCCCACCCGCTCCTGGTCCATCATGGCCCATGCACCTCCTACGTACATCGTGCTCATTTCTATACTAATCCCATTGTCAAAGCGTTTTGCTTCCTCCCACACAGCTTAAAGGACGCGACCTGGGCTTGGCTGTTTTCACTCCGACGCTGCCCTCATGACAGCACGGTCCCTTCACCTGATGGAAGGCCACTTGTGTTGTGGCCGAAACGTCGTGATTTTTGTTATTTAATTTTTTTACCTACGTGACTTTACCGAATAGAACCAAAGAGTATTATGGATCCCTTCAGCCACGAAAACTTCAAATCGAGACGACCACGCCCAATGCCGCCCCCCCCACAACCACACAGCCCTGCCGCCAAAAATATCTTCCAGAAGACGCGGGCTCGTTTTATATCAGACACACACCGCCGCGCGTGCTCTTCCGGAAGATGGCGACGCGTTCCCTCCCACCCCCCAGCCTCTGGGAATGAAATCTTCCGGAAGATTAATCTTGCCCTGTTTTTTTTCCTGCCCCACCCCCACCCCTCTATGCCCCGCCCCGCACTACAGACCTCGGGGCATCGTCTACCGTTGAGCATTCGTCTTCCGGAAGTTGCCCCGCGTGTCTTCCGGAAGATGTAGCGGTCGCCGTTGTGTGGCGTTATTGTTGTTGTTGTCATTGGGCAGACGCGGTACCACGTGGTTTGGGGGGGAGTGGTTGGGGGGCGTGGTTTGGAGGGGCGTGGTTTAGGGGGCGTGGTTTGGGAGGGGGTGGGGCGAGGTGATCGAGTGGACGACCACACTCGCTTCGCCGCTGCTCCAAGCCGGACGCGTGGTTTGTGTTTTTTTTGGTCGCGTTTTGTTTGTCCGCTCCGAGCTCTGTCGCTCGCTCGCTCGCTAGCACGCCGACAACGGGGGAGGACGGAGCGGGCGTGGGTTGGACACAGAGGGCTCACGAGGGAGGAAAGAGAGGGCAGCTGGAGCGAAGGTTGGCGGCCTGCATTCGGTAGACGCGTAGAGACACGCATAGTGAGTCGGAGAGGACGCGTGCGTGCGTGGTCTTGCAAGGCGGTAAGAAGCATTGCACAGAGGCAAGAGGCTATAGCACAGGAGATAGCCGGACAATAGACACACACACGCGCACTGTCTGCACGATAATTAGCGGGTGTCTAGGAATATACATTAGACCCACAGAGGCATGCAACATCGCCTAGACCAGACGTCTCGTGGGCAGACAGATGTTATATAACGGAGGGCGTAGACATACTAATGGTATAAATACACCATACGTCTGTGACATAGACACATTCACAGGCATACTAATTGCCCAATACACCAAACACACGGTAAGTAGACGGGGATGTGCTAAATACTCCCGAGTGTGTAAATGAGAGCGTATACAACGTGTGGGACATTAATTGACATCCAAAATTGTCGTATTGTCTTGTCAATATCTATATACAGCCTATGATACCGATCGATTTTGTTTGCAGAGTGTGTCATATTTCAGTCGATGCGATATAGTAACATAGCTGGAGGATACATTGACCAAGGCTATTGACACACACAGCGATCTGTATGAAGTTTACGGACTAATATACAGTGCGGTGATGCCAAACGGTAATATAATACGGGGATATAATATTACTGATCAATAGTGAAGAGGCGTACACTACGTATAAGTGACAAGTTGTTTATATATATAGGCACGGAGTAGAACTTACTATTGTAGTGACGGCGATTCCGTTATTGGCATCGCCAATAATAGACTGGAAATAATCTTTACAAACATCGTATACAGCGCATAGGGCCAATATCAGTTGTACCATAAGGGTTCAAGTCTAGGTGACACTTGTGTCTTGATAGTGAAGGAAGGGTCACACAGTTGTGCCACAGTCTGCGCGAGTGGAACATGCATTCTCTGGCACGAGCCTCCTCAATCTTTCGTCACAATGCCCCTGCCTGGCGGGGCGTGGGAGCGAACAAGACCTGGCACGGGGTTCGAACCGGGCCCCCTGATCTGTTGGCTAACCAGCGTGAGCACCGACGGTCGCAGCAGTATCACCAGCACCTGCTGCAGGGACAGCGCCGAGGGCCTGCCCAGCTCCTGCTGGGCCCTGTGGCCACAAGTCGAGCCACCCTCGACGGCACGGAGACGCTGGGGTGCAGACGGGCCCTGTTCGGACGGGCAGATGGAGATGGAGCGGATGAGGCCACAGCGGCCACAGCGGCAACAACTTCAGGAGGAGGAGGCGATGATGGAGCTGGAGGAGAAGGAATGGTATCCAAGAGAATGGATGCGTGAGTATGGGAATGGTCCCAGTGGTTTCTGGTGGCATCACCGTTGCTGTGGTCATGTTAAAACAAACAAACAAAAAACTTGAGTGAATTAAGTGGTATCCTTAGGAAGCGACGGGAAACATCTTATGAACAGGAACAGACACGTTAAAATTCAACAAAGAATGTAACGGCATTAGAAGGGGTGCCGGAGACGATCTTGACAAAGCTATTGGTATTTTATTGGATCTTTCGGTAAAGTCACGTAGAAGGGAAACAATAAAATAATAAAAATATAAAAAATAACATTCTCACGACGTTTCGACTGCAACACAAGCAATCGTCATCAGGTGTGAAAACCACAGCAAGAAAATTTGAAAGAAGTGGCGTTTTTTTTAAAGCTATTAGCAACAACATGAGAATGTGTTTTCTGACAATTGGATAAATAAAGGGGTGAAAAGCGGAAAATATTAACAATCCCAGAGTTACTGGAAATGAACTACGGGAAATGATTTCGAGGAAATGATAACAAGAAAATGTCAATATTGGCTCAAGATAAATATGAGCAAAACAAAAGTCGTGTTCACTAAGCATTAAAATATCTTGTCAGAGGGAAACAACTGGAGTATATATTTAGAAACAGGTGCCTATCATTGTTATAATTGTCCAGAGTACAAAGGCATCAAGCAAAGGATGCCCAAGACGGGTAATTTGTGGGAGAGCCTTGCTGTTTGAGGAGCAGGAGGATATCCACGAAACATGCCTAAGACTATGGATGTGTGGTAGTGAAGAAGCTTTTAATGGCATGATATCATCATCATGCAAGAGCAAAGGTATTGGATCAATTCCCACTGGGGAGAGGTGGAGAAGAAACGCTGCTATGAAACACATCCAACGATTTCGAGTTCTGTGAGCATGGGAGAGCTATATGTTCAGCATGTTTCTAAATGTGGAGGGAAAAACCGGAGGACTCTTAGTTAACATCTTACCACCGTGGAATTCGTAGAGTCATGAGCAATATTTACTTGCTCTTTAGGAGCATAGGTTGAGGATTGAGGCAGTGGTTATGACTAAGTGAATATTTGCCGTACAAGTTAATAATGCCCACCCTCATCGGTCATTGTACTTTTCTTGACCAAGTTTACATCGTTACCCCCATTATTATCAACAGCAAACGCGCAGAATTGTGCCTCTTCTAACATGGCCTAAAACACAACCATGTTAAGCTGCATATAAAAATGCAAATATTGAAATAATTGTGCCTCTTCTAACATGGCCTAAAACACAACCATGTTAAGCTGCATATAAAAATGCAAATATTGAAATATGTAATTTTCATGATGAAAAATGGCGGCCAACTTAATTTGCATTTCAAAACGATAAAGTTGTTGAAAACGGGTTATTAATTTGTGTAGGTTAATGCAATAGCACACCAGTTGAATGCGATGCATGGCCAGACCTTGTCTGAAATTGAGAGTAGATGAATGCAGCACAATGTCTGCTTTAATACATGCAACTGGACGAATGATCGACATAAATCACTCTCCAGTCACGCGGTTTATTGCATAACGGGTGCACGTCAATAGATTGTTAGACTGTCCAGCAATACTGATAAGTCGAGCTACGCTAACTGGCATAAAATAACATCCACATTTGTCTCACCAGGCATTTTTGCAAAACCCAGCAAGCGTGATTGCTGCCAGTATATGCGTCTTCTAAAGAAGCTGAGCTAAAGTGTTGGCTATATAGGTCACTCAAAAAGTGCAGCTCATGTACTGAAACGTTTCTATTCATGCATATTAACAAAAAAATACAGACGAGAAATAAGTTCTTCTAAAGGTGTGGCCACAGTATTGGCAAAAAATATCTTTAAGGAATTTAAAATCACCCAAAGCAGATGAATCATAGAATTAATGCTCTGTTGACTATGTGCATTCAAATTCACTGCAAAAAGTCAGTACGGAAAGAAAAGTCAGTACAGAAAAATCCATTATTGTACTGGACTTATATTTTCTCACATCTAACCTCCCCCCCCCAAACCCATCTTCCCCTACGCGAAATAGTCACCGTGGTGTGGGCAGGCCCAAATCCCACAGTAGGTTGGCAAAGGGCTGTGCAGGTACATTCACCATTTATGGCAGGATCCCATATATTGGAGTTGGAGGGAGCTTGTTCTGTTTTCTACCATGACTCATTTGGACCGTACAGTGTGCTGGTTTCTCGAGTGCTCTCATTTTCAGGCTCAATCTGTTGTTCATTCCCAATACTTGCCTCATTGCCTGCATAAAATAAATGCTCCTTATGAATTCAAAATGAAGGAGCATCTCCTTTTTCAAACAAGCATTATTGGGAGGGTAGTCATCTTCCTTGTTGGTAGCTGTGATGCAGTGGTGAAATTTCCACATTCCCATGGTGGAGGCCAGCCAGATTGACTGAGTAGGCCCCTGATTGAGTTTAAAATTTACAATCTTATGATTTATCCGTGCTCAGACCATTATCCTCTTTAAATACTATAATAACGAAGTCGCTGATTTTTCAAAAGTCTTGATTACCGGGATTAGCATATTTGTTTAGGATTGTCTGTATTTAGCTGTTTGACAAGTTATTTAATGAGTGGATGTTTTGTATGTGTAAGCAAATTTGCTTACAAAGTAATACCACTCAAAAGCTGCATAGACGAGTCAGAAACCCATTTGCTTTATTTCATTCTCCTGTCACAGCCCAGAAGGTTAGAAGTCTCAGTCTTTGATGACATCTGCCTGAGCCACCAACATTTTTGGCTTTCTCGACCAATATCATCCATAAGAGGTGTTTTGGGTTAGATCGCGTAAATATATAAATGTCTTTAAAACCCGCCACTACTCGACACAGCCAACTAGAAAGGGTTGTCACATAAACAGAACATGCCAATTCGTCACTAGTACAGCACACCGGTGTGTTGGAGAGCCAAGCCACAACATTTACAATTTGAGTACGACGTTTCGCCAGTAATTACAACTAGCTTCATCAGGCGACAGCCAGATTTGTGTAGTCTAACCGTTTCGTTCCTTATATAGAGGCGTAGATGTGGTGACCACGCTTCTGCGCGTGGTCACCACATCTACGGAGTTTGCGTGATGGTTTATGCTCCTTTTTTGATTAGAACAGAAAGGTATTGTGATTCATTTATGGAAAACACTGTAATGAGCACGACTCTATAATGTTTCGTACAGAAAATGAAAGCCAATGCAGCTCAGTGAGCAACTGATGCATATGGTCAGATCTTGCAGTACCTGTCACGACATGTGCCAAATAATTTTGTACAAGCTACAGCTTGCTCATGTGTTTTTTCTAGACGTCCTGCAGAGTAGTGAGTTGCAATAATCGAGCCTTGTCGATACTATGCTACATGCCACCGTGTTGCCTATATCACAAATGAACCTTATGGCGGTTCCCCGGGGTACCATAGTACCCCGGCTCTCGCATAATGTCCGTGATGCAGTCATTTTCAGCCTGTTGATGGTCGGCGATGCGGCAATCGACTCATCTCGACGAGCTCTACACGATGCACTATTATGCTAATGTTTTGCGTTTCATGGAGTAGCACTGATTTCGGATTGTTTGGTACCCCAGTCGCGGATTGAAGTAACACCCCTGGAAAAAAGTGTCCCAGAAATAAAATATTTTATTGCCTCGGCCTTTTTGTATTATTTGGTACCCCGGGGTACAGCCATAAGGTTCATATAGTGGCCGAATGTGTTGTGGAGCCCTGATATTAAAATTTCAGGACCTGTCTATTTTGCACATGATGCTCAAACAATATTGAAGTCTATTATGGTGCCGAGCTTCATTGCACGAGTCGAAAACCGAATCCTGGAGTCTGCGACCACCACACCTGATCCACAAATGTTTTCGCCTGAGCCCGAGTGCCAACCAGCAGACCTTCGATTTTCCTGGATTAAGGCAGCGTTTAAATTTGTGCAAACTGCACGACCACCGCTCATGTTCAATCTTCTCTGTTACTGAAGCTCTCCATGTCTAACTTTGACTTCATTGCAGTGCACAGATGTGTATCAGGTTGATGTCATCTGGAGACAATGTATAAAATGAGCTTATTCTCGTCACAATGAGAAACATTTCATTTAGCTAGACGTAATCTGTTAATGAAAGGGACTATAATGAGGATTCCCACCCAGTCTTTGCATAGTGGTGTTTCAATGTCTACTAATCATTGGATAAGTGTACTGTACTGTAGTATTACATAATTCGCACTGAAATGGAAATGTTCATCAACTGAGATTGACTCGTGAAATGAGCGTGTGTGTGTATGGGAAAGTATTTGAGAAATACACTGCACTTTCTATTCTGAAACCTGGAACAAGCACTTACACACATGTACAGTAATACAGTATATACATCACTGAAACTATTTAATATGCTTACATCCACATTTTCAGTTCTCTTTTTTCCCCAAACAGAAAAATACCTCCGGGCACGGAAATAGTCTTGGAAGAGAAATGTGTCATGGAACCTGCCTTGTGAGCGGTGCCAAAATGCTGGTTGCGGTGCTTTTTTAGCCTATAGATGTTGTCTTTCCAAGGTCATGTGTCGTCTCTAATGAACACGAGAGAATACATCAAAGTGTCTGTCTCCCTGCTCCAGCAAGTGTAAGGTCGTTCTCTCCTCCCTCCATTGTTACCTCTGAGATAGTGGTGATAATTCCAAATCCCTTTTTGCCCCAAACGTTCCATCGTTGACTTCCTGGTGCTCGTTTAATTGGTCTCAAAGAGATGAAAGGCTGAGTCAACACTAGGCTGGGATTTAAAAGTGAACCCTTCCTTGAGTGAGTCAGACATTCTAATCCCAACACCACTCATACATTCCTACTGTTTACCTTGCATGCTGCTGTTAACTATATTTTTTAAATCACTTAAGGCTGTGCCATACAGTTGTTGGAATTATTTAATATATAAGTGTATAAGTTAACGTTAAAACGGGTTAGCATCAATTGGTAAAAGGTCACTGCTGGGCTTTTGGTGTCTTACCTGTTAGCACATTCAATGAACATTCGCTACATGTTTCAAGTCACGGTGGTCAGTATCACTCACCACTGAGCCAGTTTAACCAATCTGGTCCTGCTGGCTGCCATTAATGACACGGGGTATCAGTGGGCTACAGCAGTAAAGTGGGTGTAATTCAATCCTGTGACATCTTTTGCAATAGTCGATCATTGCCAATTCCGAAAATTACCCTTTGTTAATACGAACTATTGTCGTGTATATCCCTGTTTGGGAGCTGTAACATTTTGTTCGGTTTTTATGGTGCCATTCCAATTTCAGATGAATGAATAGTATTCGGCAGTTTCCATCTATACTGTGGAGTTGGGTTTGTCTGGATTGTTGACCTTTTCACTTCCTGCGTGCCGTGGGTGTTTACAGCCCTATTAAAAGCCTGAACAAACTCGGGTAATTTAAGCATTGCAGTAAAACGTGCTTTTGCTTAGGGAGGTGCGCCGCAAGTGTTATCTAACATTTGCTCTGTGCTGTGTGGAAAGAAATTAGCGATTATTAAAATGCTGTGCTTCACTAGACAGTACGTTAGCAAGGCTTTCATTTAAGAAAAATTATTTCAATACAATAGCTTTTGCAGTAAAAAAAAAGCGCTGAGCATTTTCATGATCATTTTTCACGTGCTTTGCCAAGAAATTCTACTGGTTGCTGTTGCTGACCAAACAGATTAATGAGTCATCGAGAAGTCAACGTGTCTCCATGCTCAAAGAAGCATTGGTTGGTGCTCGTCTCCTTTAGTCAGTCCTACGTGACGAGCCAGTACCGCCATACGACAACTGCTGTTGAATCCCAAAGTAGATTGTGCTCCATTTAGTAAATCTCCAACTGGGAACTACGTTGTCAACCTTAAAATTGTAAGGTGCCATGGTGGCGAGATGTTAACTAGCTCGCCTGGTACACAGAAGGTCGTGGGTTTGATCTTGACTGTGACTCCTGTGTATTTGGAGTTTGCATTTTCTCCCCGTGGCCGCGTGGATTTTTCAGTTTTTCCCTTCACATTTGCAAACACGCGTTCAGATTATTTGGCTGCTATACATTTCTACAAGACAAACCACTTTGTTGAGCTATCATTTGTGCCCAGGTCGCTTCTGGAAAAAACCCCTTTATTGGTCAGCGGGCCTTGCCTGGTAAAACTAAAATAATGAATTAAGTATACTATTACTTAATTGTCTAAAGATTTCTCTGTCGGGCCTCTGTGTACTGTTATCGAAATTCATCTGCTAATGGTACATCACGATCACGTTGCAAGGCTTGCAGACTGCAGGTGAAATATTGGTGCTAAGTTGACATGGTGTCCTTGTAGCACATCACCTTTTCATGGCTGTTTTAGGGGCGTGCATATCATCTGCAGTCAGTATTTTTTGTTTAAATATGGCAACCAAATACATTCATTCCGCTTACATATTTAATTTTTTTTTATGAATGCAATATGTGCCCCCTGACATGGGAATATGGATTTCCAATTTCCACCACTGGCTCAAGGCTGCCATCTGAGAAGGGAACCACCTCAATAATCACACATTTTTTTGCATTTACGTAACAAGAGGATGTGAAAATAAGCAACTGATAAGAGCAACTGTGATAGCTTTTTTTTAGAATAGACTGTATTTGAACAAGTTTAAACATGTAATGTTTTATTCCATGACATGCAAAATGGTCATTTGTCCTGCAATTTCATTGGAAAATTGCAGGAAATCAACACTGTGGATGAGACAATCCCACTAACGTGACACAAAATCAATACACTGATGGCTCTATTTACGCACTTAACTCTTTTCTATCCAAAGCCTTGCGATAACAGTATTTCTTTTTTCCAGGATTCATCACAGGCACAGGCATATGTAGAGAGGTTTTGTAGGCATTGCCTCTCCTAAATGTTGAGGATCCGAGACATGAAATGGTGGCTCGGACTGCAGCTTATTGCACGCTGAAGCAAAAGCAGGGCTTTCTATGTTGCCTTCCCCATCCCTCGCCCTGGAACGGGTCTACGTGTTGGGAGGCAATTGATGTGATCAATATTCCTCAACTTAATTTGCATTATTGAATGGTATGTGAGGTCTGAGGTCTCTCAAGGCCTGGAATAAGGTGTTATATCCTCAGCAGTCATTGCTGCTGTAAAACAATATCAAAAAGTCAAGAGGCTCTATTCTCTTATTGGAAAATGTTAGTTTTGTTTTTATTACATTCGTCATTGTCTCTCGTAATAATATGAATCTGGCCTCAAGTGTCTTCCTGCACAGAGAAGCATTGGGAATTCATCTCTGAGTACTGAGACAGCTGTGGACATTACACATTCTCATGGCAAGGGGGACTCCCTTCTACGCATTATGACTGCTGTTGAATTACTACAAAGTAATACTCATGATGGACTAATATTTATACTTGCGTTCTTTTGGTTGCGAGTCAAACATTCTACCTACTGTGCCACCTAGCCAGATTAAACTAGCTATGCCAAATGAAGTTTCATATGTGGGCATTGAGTGCCTCTACCGTGTGTTGTGCGTCTGATGACACAACAACGAGCGGAGCGCCGGGTGGCTAAAGCACAGCGGGTTGGCACAGTAGGGGGCACAGGTGGTGCACCAGCCAGTCATCTCAGTCATCTCAGTCGACCCGTGGCACCTGGGTCTGCCCCGTGACCTCCTGCCCGCGGGCGTTCGACACTAAACGTGGCCTCAAGGTGCACATAGCCTGGCACAAGCGTCGTGGTGACGTCACTGCCACTCAGTGCGAATGGCCGTTGTTGTTGTTGTTGTGGGTGGTTTGTGCATGCAGAGAGAAGATGAGGCCCCTGCCCCGCCTTGAAGACCTGCTGTTTGATGCCATCGCTGAGGGTCAGGACAAGATCCCTGTTGTCAAATTTATAACTGTGAGTGATCACCACCCCATGCCTACGTCTTTTACCTCATGTTTTATTCATTATGGTTTAGTGTGCCCAGGGGGCTGATAAAATCAAGATTTTGGGTAAAATGCTTGTAAAAAAACCCATAAGCTACAAAAAATATCCTTAAAAAAAACAATGTGAATGAATAAAATAGTGTGTTATTATTTTACAAAAAATCTTGTTATAAACAGAATTTATATTTCGGAAATATCATGACCCCTATTGAAGGGACATCAGTACTCATGAGTCTATGGTTGATATCTTGAAACACGGGGTATGCTATGCAACACATTGAACTAATTATACTGGTAGGAACCTCCTTGTTACACCAGCCCACAGGGGATTATTGTGTTCGTCCGTCGTGCATCCAAAAATGGGAGGGGCTGGGTGGGGGGTGGGAGGGATGGGGCTGGGTGGGGAGGGGCTGGTCACCCCGTGGTGCCCTTATAAAACTCAACGTTTAACCTACTCACGCCGGCTTGTGCCCGCCCTCACAGTCGGGCATATTTGCGGAATACACCACGTGGTGCCGCCGTTGTTGACCCTGGCCATTGACCGAGCAACCCAACGTTCCTACCAGCTCCCTCTGCATGAATGTGTTAATGCTTGGCATGGTTTTGTACCAAGATATAACTTTGAATAAAATTTAACCAGGCATGCACGTTACCTCACCACTCCTGATAGCATGTGCACTGTTAACGAAACATGTATGTATGAAAGCGTTGCAGATTATGTTCTGTATTTAATTATTGGCTTATACAATTATTTGAATCATTCACCATTATCTATTGACTGTAAATTTGCTGCATTAAAAAAAGTGTAATTATTTACATATAGTATGCATAAGGAAAGATGTCTAAGCCAGCTTTATTGGTCTCATATAACGAATGAACTGTATCATTTCTAAATTAACTAAATATTCCGTTTCTAATGAAATGGTGCTATTGGAGGAGCACTTGCCTCATTATCAGAAGATTTTGAGTTCAAATTTTGGTTTGGGATGAATGCAGCCCGTGTTCCACCTAGCTTCATAGAATCAATGCCAATATGAAGAGTTCACCTCTGTGTTCTGCTGTTTGTCATCAGGCCTTAAAAGCGACCGGACTGCGCACCTCAGACCCCCGTCTAAAGGATTCGATGGATGCCCTGCGCAAGACGGTGCAGACAGCAGCTGACGGAGTAGTCCTGGACAAAATGCTCTTCCGCAAGTGAGTGATGCAATCTCACATTGCGTTGGGTGACTTTGGCCTGTATTATGTAATGCCTTGACTTCAAGCTTTCGTGACTGCAGGAATTAATGTTATTTGGGTCCTTCGGTAAAGTCACGTAGATAGGTTCAAAGAAAATAACAAAAAACTACGACGTTTCGATCACAACACAAGCGGTCGTCATCAGGAGGATGACGATTGAAACGTCGTAGTTTTTTGTTATTTTCTTTGAACGATCTACGTGACTTTACCGAAAGACCCAAAGAATAGTATGTAATGTGTTTTGATTTTTATTAGTGTGGCTTCGAGAAAGGGTGGTGCATAATGCTTCCCGATAATGTAAACTCAAAACATTTAGAACATCTCAATTAAAAGCAGTCGTCTTGTTTTAATAGATTTGTAAATTTCATTTTACTGCATTAAATAGGATATTTTTACTACACCATTAACTTTCCTCTGGTTATTTTGGCAAATTATTAATTTAGCTATCACCTATTATCCAGATATCACAGGTGATAAAAATGGGCCAATGAGTGATTCATGGAATTCGAGACAGTAGTGCAGCTCGCCAAATTATGTGTGGCTCATTAGCCATTATGGTGAACTGTGTGTTCATGTACTTTTATCACAAGCTTTTTCTCCTCGTTTTAATTGGCCCAAAGAGCCAATGCTGTTGCATACTGATGGATGTGTTGTTACACTGTGCTGCACAGTATCTGACCCCAAGTCTCAGTGTCATGAGCAGTCTGTGTTCAGGCACTCTGCCTTTCCTATGAATAATGTAACATTTAATTTGGTGCATTGCCACACATGGTATATTGGAAAAAAATCATGGTGGGTGGGGTGCTGTACACCACCAGTGAAAATGTATAAAGTAAGGTGATCTTTATAAACCAATGAAAAATAAAAATAAATATTTTAATTGAACACTTTTCAGCTGCTCCTGATGCGGTTATCTGGCTTGGCCCCTGGAATGCAAAATTTTAGTTGTTGCTCTGCATCTACATCAGCCATACGAAACAAGAAGAAGAATTGAACACTTTTATGGATGTTAACTCTTTAATAAATTTGTCCATTAATATGGTAAGCCTTTAATAACATAACTGTGATATTGAAGTTGTGTTCATATTCATTCACCTGGGTGAAAGTTATCATGCCCTCCTTCCACCACCCCCCATTGCAGATGGACAGAGCTAATGCAACCTTAGTTGTGTAGTGAGTCCAACTGAGTCGCAGACATTACTCTTTAGAGGCAACACATTTATTGTAACACGTCAATACAAAGGGGTAACTGCCCCTTTACCAGATACAGCCTGAGGTGGTGACCACCCAGCTAACTACACGATACGTAGGAGTTACAGCTACGAAGGGTCGGACCCTCACTCGGGTCCCTGGCCACGTGTTGATGCCTCGTAGGCCGTAGAGCTTCCAGCTTGTAGACGTAGAGCTTCCAGCTTGTAGACGTGGAGCTTCCAGCTTGTAGACGTGGAGCTTCCAGCTTGTAGACGTAGAGCTTCCAGTTTGTAGACGTGGAGCTTCCAGCTTGTAGACGTAGAGCTTCCAGCTTGTAGACGTTGAGCTTCCAGCTTGTAGACGTAGAGCTTCCAGCTTGTAGACGTAGAGCTTCCAGCTTGTAGACGTAGAGCTTCCAGCTTGTAGACGTGGAGCTTCCAGCTTGTAGACGTGGAGCTTCCAGCTTGTAGACGTAGAGCTTCCAGTTTGTAGACGTGGAGCTTCCAGCTTGTAGACGTAGAGCTTCCAGCTTGTAGACGTTGAGCTTCCAGCTTGTAGACGTAGAGCTTCCAGCTTGTAGACGTAGAGCTTCCAGCTTGTAGGACGTAGAGCTTCCAGCTTGTAGACGTGGAGCTTCCAGCTTGTAGACGTAGAGCTTCAGCTTGTAGACGTGGAGCTTCCAGCTTGTAGACGTAGAGCTTCCAGCTTGTAGACGTAGAGCTTCCAGGTTGTAGACGTAGAGCTTCCAGCTTGTAGAATGCAGCGATCCCGGTCCCTCTCAAGGACCCACCTTATATCCTCCCGGGTCGGGGCTGCTCCACCCTCGGCCCCGCCCGCCTTCTCGAGCATTCTAGCTCCTTCTCCATCCCTCTCGAGAGCTCTCCCCGGACACGTGATCACCCCCTAGCCCCCCCGCACCTGGGGCCTTCTCTGTGGACACTCCAGATCACGTGTGGGAGCCCGCACTGCGTGCTATGCGTGGTCGCGCTATCCCAGCGCTCACCAAGCCCCGCTAGGGCTGGTACTACACCCATCTCCGGGGTGTAACGCGATGACGGTGCATCGCACGCCGTGCTGTGCTAGAGCCGGCCTCACACAGCAACCCACACGGTGCTGTCCGCGACGTAGGTACACCGCACGCCACGGCCCTCCCGAGCCGGCACCGTACAGTGACATCCCTGATGTCACTACAGTTGGAAAACGTAAAGAGGCAGCATGACTGAAAGGCTCCTCTTGATGTTGACTGAGAGAACGAAGCCTGTTTTTAAAACCGCTTTCCGCATTACGAAGGTGTTTCTGTGTCTTTAAATTAAAATGAGGGGTGACATTCCAAAATGCTTTGTACATTACCTTTCATATGGTTAAGTTGTCTCCCGGCTCGATTGACTGTTGTGTATGCTCATCCTTATTCGTGGCCCAATGAAAGCGATAAACTTGGCCATTTCTATCACACGAGCCAGTTTTTCTTAAGGACAACCACTGGACTGTTCAGAAACCATCTTAAAGACTCGGTGGCTTACACATGTGTGATTGAGCACACCTGCAATCCAGAACTTGATAGGCAAAGGTTGATGGATAACATACATTTGTCTAATCTTCAAACCTGCTTGGCTTAGACGTGGTCAGGGGATGGTAGTATTCACGGGTTTTTACAGATTAATCCCATTTCTTCTACATGCCTAACCTTACTTTAAAAAGGGATTAGTGAAATATATCCGTGCAGGGTTTTTAAAGAGATATTTGAGATTCAGTGAGGATTTCCTTGATAAAAGAATGCATATTTTATGTATTTATCATTCGATCCAGTGTGCATTTCATCCATGATTTATTTACTGTTCTCAGAGGCACGATAATGCATTTCATCTGCATCCCCAAACAGAGCATTGACGTTGTTTCAAGTTTCAAGTTTCATGTATTAGGTACAGCCCTGTGAGCCATGCGGCTCTTGAGTCGGGTGCAACCGCAACAAAAAATATGAACAGAGAAACATCTTAAAGCGACGACGCGCAACAGAAACATCCTGGGATAAACCAGCAAATCTTCCAGAAAAAAAACACCGTATTACAACGCTGTGTGCAAAAATCCCAGTGTGATGCAAGACAAACAGTAACAACCATAAGACAATTTAGATTCAAGTTATCAGGCCAACTCCGCACTTCCGCAAGAAACATGGCTTAACCATAATGTTTTAGAAATCACCAAAATAAAGCTATAAAATACAATGTAACAACAGTAATCATAGGAACTTCGATTCAAATTTAACAATAAACGATATACATAACATGTACGAACAAACTTGCAGCCATATCTGTCAGCATGACACTCCCCGTGTATGACGTGTGAGTGAATCAATGGTAGGGAGTGTATGATGTGTGAGTCAGCATGTGATAAGTGAGTCAGTGTGTGATGTGTGAGTCAGTGGTATTGTGAGTGAGTGTATGATGTGTGAGTGAGTCAGCGTTTTATGAGTGAGTGTATGATGAGTGAATCATTGTATGATGAGTGAATGGGTCAGTGGTTGTGTGAGTGTATGATGTGCGAGTGAGTCAGTGTAAGATGAGTGAGTGTATCACGGCATCCTCCCCGCCATCGCGGCCTCCTCCACGCCATCGTGGCCTCCTTCCCGCCATCACGGTCTCCTCCATGCCATCGTGGCCTCCTTCCCGCCATCACGGCCTTCTCCCCGCCATCGTGGCCTCCTCCACACCATCGCGGCCTCCTCCACACCATCGCGGCCTCCTCCACGCCATCGCGGCCTTCCCGTCATCGCGGCCTCCTCCCCGCCATCGCGGCCTCCTCCACGCCATCGTGGCCTCCTCCACACCATCGCGGCCTTCCCGTCATCGCGGCCTCCTCCACGCCATCGCGGCCTCCTCCCCGCCATCGCGGCCTCCTCCCCGTCATCGCGGCCTCCTCCCCGTCATCGCGGCCTCCTCCCCGCCATCGTGGCCTCCACACCATCGCGGCCTCCTCCACGCCATCGCGGCTTTCCCGTCATCGCGGCCTCCTCCACGCCATCGCGGCCTCCTCCCCGTCATCGCGGCCTCCTCCCCGTCATCGCGGCCTCCTCCCCGCCATCGTGGCCTCCTTCCCGCCATCGTGGCCTTCTCCCCGCCATCGTGGCCTCCACACCATCGCGGCCTCCTCCCTGCCATCGTGGCCTCCTTCCCGCCATCGTGGCCTCCTCCACGCCATCGTGGCCTCCACACCATCGCGGCCTCCTCCCTGTCATCGCGGCCTCCTCCCCGCCATCGTGGCCTCCTTCCCGCCATCGTGGCCTCCTCCACGCCATCGTGGCCTCCACACCATCGCGGCCTCCTCCCCGTCATCGTGGCCTGCTCCCCGCCATCGTGGCCTCCTCCCCGCCATCGTGGCCTTCTCCCCGCCATCGCGGCCTCCTCCATGCCATTGTGGCCTCCTTCCCGCCATCACGGCCTCCTCCCCGCCATCGTGGCCTCCTCTCTCTTCGTGGTATAATTATCCTCCTTGCAGGTGGTATTTAAGGTCATCTTATGGTCCATGTGAATGTGTATGTGCTGTTGCGCAGAAAAACATAGTAAATAACTCCCAAGCAATAAAAACAAGTTAGCTAGGTGTTAGACTGTCTGTTAATCATACTGGGTTTCTGTTGTCTTAAAATATTGTTTGCGCAAAGCAGTGAGAGGTGTGTTTTGGATATCACACAATACGCCTGTTAATCAGCCTGTGAATTCAGTAGCTGGTTAACATTTCTAGAAAGTGTAAATACCCTGAACGGATATATGTAGCAATCAGTTAGTGTTGGTTCAAGCTGGTCAGCACTGCTCCAGTGTAGGCACTCCTGATTGCTTTATGACCTCATGCATATTAAGCCTCTGAGGTCGACTTGGCCTGCATTCCAACCGGTTGCAGGATGGGTGGGGCCGCGGTGCCATTATGTAAGTAGAGGGCTCTGTTTTGTTATGCTCCTTGTCTATGAAGACCTGGTGCTGCATTGAGGAAGCCACCTAAACCACCGTGTTTTATTATCCTACGAAGGAGCTGTTTCCTGCCTTAACATCATAAGCAGCCCATGCACAGTTGCATGTGCCTTAGCTGCTTCGTGGTTTCTTGGAATACATAGTTAATCACATTATAGATTGTTAAGCTAAACGCACATTGCACAACTGGGGTCGTGTGACTTTGCAGCTGAAAGAAATGACGTGTCGTATGAACTTGTTGTCACCACTTTCGCAATGTGGTCTAATTTTCATCAGCTTTGGCGGTTGACAAGTAGTTCTCCAAACAGTGAATAGTGTAGTCTAGGAACCATGGACCAAATTATATTCTTTGGTATCAATATCATAATTGGTTAATGTTGGCACAAGCATAGTCTTGAGACATTGAGATGTTTTCGTGAGCACCTCAAGGCTTTTCTGAACGTGACCTGCTTAAGCATTCATATAGGACATGCACTGGCTACCGCGTTCCTCATGGAAAACCATTCAAAAGCCTGTAACAAAATAACCGTTTAAGCAAGATACAATGGCAATACGTAAAACTGCGAAAGGACTACACTTGTTTTTACATTCCTTTGTTTTTGGAGGCAATGATTTCTTGTTGTATTGTTCAAATGAGCTTTGAGGCAGTGTAGTTTATCGCCCTAAGCCACTGGTCAGGTCTCTCCATTGGCTAACCACTATTGACTTCCCCAGAAAGTACTACGTATTGTATCGACAATGGAGTAATGATTCTCCGAGTCAATCACCAACCAGGATTTGAATTTACAACCTGCCAATCGCGAGTTGTTCGCTGTCCTGCTGAGTGACTTCAGGTATTTAATTGTCCAAGCAGCTAGAATGATAGTTTTCCTTGCTTTAGAATAACCTTTTCTGATATGTAAAAAAGTGCACATTTGTCTTTTGCCCTTCATTAGAAGTTAAACGATCCAAGATGCTTGCAGCAACTGCTGCCAATTGTGTCTAGGTATTACATATAAATGAGTCATTATATTTGTGCCAAATCTTACTATGTGCAACTTACTCAGTCACGAAATCGTAATTTGGAGTCATAATTGTCATGCATTCTGTAATTTGTCTTTAACAAGAGGTGGGACAGTGATTAAATCAGGAAACCCATGGGAGTGCCTAGAATGACTCCCATTAATGATTTGTAGTCTGAATATATTCTCCCGATTTTCAGATTAATACAAAAAAATTGGAAAATCAGACCTAGATTTGAAATTTCAGACATTCTGAAATGTTTTCTTCACGTTGATCCAAAAACCTAAAGCGGAATTTTTATGACATCCCTTTTTTTTTCTACAAAAGTGGTGTCACTTGGCCTCTGCTGATGTTATTGTTAGCACGAATACGTTTCCCATTCGTATATATAATGGCAATTATTTAAAAATCAGAAAAATATCTGAAATTCATCTGTAAATTGTTATATAATATAAATTACATTTCTAAAATACAAAATGCATAATTTTCACTCTTTTATGTTTTGGCCAGCCTTTATATTGCTGAGTAAATGGGTAATATAAAATTTTCCCCATATCATGAATATCGCATACTGAGCTACCATTGCCTCCTGGAACATTAATTGGTTACCTGTCAAATTAAGGCATGATCTATGGTATTATCAGAGTGCAAACACAGAGGACTTAAATGACACCAGTAGGGTGAAAAAAAAACCCCATGCAACTAATTTATTACTCTGCCTGCTGGGGCTTTAGTTGGATTAGAGATACTATTTATGGCCGGTAATGCTCGTTAATCGCGTATAGCGACAGACTGGATCGGGGTGACCAATTGCCGCAATCTGTCACGTGTACTGAGGTGTAGCCGGTGTTTTCCCAGAGACAAAAGTGTCTGTGGCTGCCTCCATGGGTTATTTATCATTGGCCAGACCCAGTAATAATTCAGCATGTCAATGTCAAGAACAATAAAACCATGAAGCACGTTAAATACAAATTTAAAGAGTCGGAAGCTGAAAGATAATGCCTTTGTAATACCGGCTACTTGTATTAGAAGTAGGCATATAACAATGCTGATTCACTTATTAAAATGTATTCTTATACTTTCGATAAATTGAGCAAGAATTTACTTTACCATTTGTTTCAATTATGCGTTATTGATACATCAGGCTAATGGAAAGAACAAAACTGGAGAAATAAGATGTAAAAAAATCCCCCCCAAAATCCCAAAAAAACTATTCCAAACAAGACCGTAAAAATGGTATTAAAATATAAAGTATATGAGTCTTACAGTTAATCGTCACCTCAAATTGCCACGTTTCATAATTGTTACGTAACTAATTATAAATATGCCATGTTTGGTGCATTCGGTTTAACCACATCTGTTATTCATTTTTTTAAGTTGTAAAGTAATGGCTGGTTTTTTATTCGGACTCATTGTGGATTTGGCCAAATAAACTCTGCCCTGGTTATGTGGCAATAAAGCCCTTCACACTGCATCTAGCTGTGCCCTGATGCCGAGGTATGTAAGAGCAAATTTACGTTTTCATGTTTAGTAAAACAAACAATTACAAAACATTTTAAGGGTTGATTTTGTTTTGTTTTCAAATCAACTATATTTTAAATGTAAAAGGTTTAGGTTTACATTGCAAATTGTACTGTTCAAATGTACTGTTCAAATGTTCAAATGTACTGTATGTCGCAATTTGATCTCGTGGGCACATTCCACTTGGTTTTAACAGTGCGCACATAAAGCAGATATTGCAAATACATTTGAGACCATACATGTGACTATCAAACCTGGTTTTATTGAACCACATTTTTCCTGTTGGAAGTCTTGTTTTTATAAAATTCAAATCTTTATAAGAACATGTCCAAATGTGTACAAAAATAATTAAACACAAATCTCTCAAGTGTGTTTTCAATAGCATTAAGAAAAAAACGTGGTATTGTGATTTCGTTTTTTGCGAATGACGAAGTAGTGTAATGTGACTTAAGCTGACATGAAATATAGACCTTGATGCGATTTGATATAGCTGGGTTCATCCTCATTGCCTAGACCAAAACAATATTTTTCTAATGCTTTTTCTCGCCCTGCTTTAATTCCCCAGGAATCTATTTATGCTGTGCCAGACCGCCACACCTTTTGTATCACATCTTCTTTTATCATAATAGCCCCCAGATCATATATGCGTTGTGGAAATAAGCCCGTGCAGGTCCGCCGTGCATTGTCGTTTGGGATTACAGTACCAGCCTTCACTAGGATACATTTTCAGGCAATTGACCCTGACGTTGACCTGGCCGCTGTCCTGCATATGCCTGCTGCAGGTGCATGGGCAGTAACATCGTGCTGCTGACGCAGGCGTTCCGACGCAAGTTCGTCATCCCTGACTTTGAGAACTTCACGGCGCAGATGGACCGCATCCACGAGAACGCCCGGGGCCTCACCTGGGGGAAGGTGAGCAGTGTGCATGAGTCTGGCATCATCATCATCATCGACACGATCAATCAATTGCTTGCTATATGTACACAAATATCTAAACTCAACTAAGGTCCTCTGAGCTATATAGCTCTTTTTCAGAAGTGACCTGGTCACAAATGATAGCTCAAGGAAGTGTCTTATCACGTGGAAATGTATAGTAGTCAAATACTATAAACGCATGTTTTTAAATACGGAGGGAAAAAAAAACGCAAAACCCGGAGAAAAATCCACGCGGCCATGGGGAGAACATGCAAACTCTGAATATACAGGAGTCCGGATCGGGATCAGGATCGAGCCCACGACTTCCTGTATACCAGGCGAGCCAGTTAACATCTTGCCATTGTGACACCCTTGGATACCCGTGGACATCCATTGACTCATCCGTGTATTGGTATCTCAATGTTAGTTCCTGCTGTATTGTATTTGATTGTTTTACTTGTCCATGACTAGGTGGCTGACTACATCCCTCAGCTGGCCAAGTTCAGCCCTGACCTGTGGGGGGTCTCCATGTGCACAGTTGATGGGCAGAGGTGGGTGCATGTGCTCCTATACCTGTCCTGTCAGTTAAAAAGCATCTAAATGTCTGAGTGTCATTCGACATGCTATCAGAGCACCACCTCTGACGGAGTTAATAGTGCTCATTGCTTCAGATTTTATGTTATTGCCATGACAATAGACTATTTGACACACCAATAATATAATTAAAGTGTGCTTATTGATATTTATGGTTTTGTTATAATCTTCTAAATATACAACCTGGTTCATGGTGAAAAAAGACGTGAATGTATGAAATTTAATTCCATTATTTCAGCTTCTAGAAGCAGCTTGACTGTTGCCGTTAGCACATTGACTCTGCATTGCGTTATATATTGATGGGACTGAGACATTAGAAATGGTATCATGCTTAGTGGACTTCTTGATGCAAGTGTAATGTAGCACTCAGAGACGGTCTTGTCCAGGTATGTGTATATATATTGTCTGTTCCGGTCCGCCCGACTTCGATGGCATACCAGCGGTGGACGTGACCCTGTCCGTTCCCGCAGCTTCAATGATTATTTACGACCACTTAGGTCCCGTACTGTCCTTACACAAGTACTGAGTCTGCAGTGTGCATTGTCAGATGGTGACTGTGCATTTCACATTGCTCACAATTAGCATATGACATGGATCCTCCTGGGGAAATGATGTCTTTTATACCTACAAAATTATAATGACCTCAAGCTCACTCTAAATAATAAATCGTGTCATAAGATACGGGTCTTGGTTTGAGAGAAAATTCTATTCTACATAACTTAAAATAATCGGCATCATTTTGGAGAATATAAATGATAATAGGCAAGTGTAACCACGCCGAGATGGAATATCGGTGTTGTGTGTGCGTGTCAGGTGTATTTGTACTCGTATGTATGTGTGGATTTGCATTTGTATATGTGTGTCCTGTGTATGGGGTTTTGAGTCCATTTGTTGTCTGTGTCTTCTAATTTAAAAGTACTTTCCTCACCAGTCTTTAATGCTAAACAGACTGTATTTGTCTTTTTTGTTGTGCATTTATGTGTGCCTGTTTGTGTTTGTGCATTTGCGTTTGTGTGTGTGTACACACACAAATCTATCTGGCTGTGATCTCAGTCATTTCACCCATAATACCCAGGCCAGGCTTGTGACCTGCGAGGGAGCGTTCAAAGCTTCACCTCGGCCTTAAGCGCCGTGGCGACTGTCAGTGGCGAGTGTCGGTATACGTGTGGGCGTGCGTTTGTTTACGCCTGCGCCTGCACGCGTGTGTTCTGCAGGCATTCGATAGGTGACACCAAGATTCCGTTCTGCCTGCAGTCGTGTGTGAAGCCGCTCAAGTATTCGGTGGCCGTCAACGAGCTGGGCACGCAACACGTGCACCGCTATGTGGGCAAGGAGCCCAGCGGCCTGCGCTTCAACACGCTCTCTCTCAACGAGGAGAGTACGTCGCTTACACGCGCGGACATGTCCCTCCCCCACCGCTCGCATGTCCACACGCCCCACATTCCACTTGCCTCGGCTCGCTTTGGGACTGTGTTTTGCACTGGGTTCTGGGGAAGGTCCATGCACATATAGCAGTTGTGTAGGTTCAATCCCCTGTTATATCAAGGACAAAACTACTGTGTACATATTTTCTTATGAGTATTTGTTTATACACATATACAGTCGTGTCAATAAATTGCACTAACATTAATTTATCAACCTAATAACTGTTGCCCAGACCTATAGAGAGCCTGTAGCCTGATGAGCCTAATACAGGTGTTGGTGGGGTTTTTGACTCAATTCATTATTGGTTAACAACTCGGTTTGTTGCCACATGGACATACCGTTTGTCCTGCTACATCCTCGCTGCTTGTTGAATTTGCTATAAAAACAGGAAGGGCCTTTCCACTGGCTGTGCATGTGGAGGATTACAGCTTTGTAAAGTTTTTAGTGGGCCTGGCTGCAGCTGTGACAGCCAATGTGCCCTGGCTGCCCCATAGCCCCAGTGACCCCAGTGACCCCTGCTTTTCCACATGCCACATTATTTCAAACAGAGCGATATATTAAGTGCTTAAAGTGACTTTCATGTTCCATGTTTGGTGCGTACCACCTATTTTGAGGCCAGCTGGAAGGTTGAACTTGGTTTTAATATTCTATTTGTTTGCCTTTTTCTCCAAATCATGTTTCGATAATGCACTCACTATCATGTCAAGGGAAGAAGAAGTTTCCATTTGGAAGTGTCATTCCTAGCATTGTCAAAGAATGGCTTCAGGAGTTGATATCACTCCAATAAACTACTTCATCCACACCCAGATACCATTTATGTGCTTTACAAAGAATGTTCATTGCTTTAATTGGAATAAGGCAAATTCATTGAAACAAATAAGTATAGTATGATGTTTTTTTTGTGCACTCATTGGTCACCAGTGTAATGCCATAAAAGCGAACCAAGCATCTCAGCAGTGTTAACTCAGTGCTCTGAACAACCTGGCAATCTGTAGGACGTTGAACTCTTTTTTTGTAGTAAACTCGTACTTTTATAACAGTTTTAACATTCTCTGTCTGCCAGCATGAACTCATTTTATGTCAGTGACGTTTTCGGATTCATTGAGATTAGATGCTCAGACTTGCCAGAGAACGTTGAAAATGATTTTTTTAGAAGATGGGAAAGTTTCGATTTCAAGCTTTCGTGACTGCAATGATTCATCTTCTTTGGTTCTTTCGGTAAAGTCACGTAGAATGAGAATAAAATAATAAATTGATAAAATAAAATAACACAATAATATTCTCTTAGTGAGAATATTATTGTGTTATTATTGTGTTATTTTATTTTAAAATAAAATAACACAATAATATTCTCTTAGTGAGAATATTATTGTGTTATTTTATTTTCTTAGTGAGAATATTATTGTGTTATTTTATTTTATCAATTTATTATTTTATTCTCATTCTACGTGACTTTACCGAAAGAACCAAAGAAGATGGGAAAGTGTTATGTTGATAGCCATGAGTTGGCTTAAACTTGAATATTGTTGTGAAAAGGGAATTTGTGGTGGCAAGCTCGGAGATTAAATAACGTTGGTTGAAGTGGCAAAGCTGGAAGAGCCTCGCAAGCAGCTGAGTACACAAGTTGCACTTCTGCTAGGTGGAGACAAATTGGACAGTGTGAAATTTGATGATCAATGGGACCAATTCTTCCTGGTAGCGGCAATGACATTTCAGTTTAATGGTGAAAAATAATCCACTGGTGATCATTCAACTTCTAGAGCAATCTTATCATTTTTTTCCCAAGCGGTAGAGTACACGAGAAGCTTAATAACCTTTTGTATATTTCCGTGTATTGTGCATGACATTTATCCTATAGTATATAAAAAAATATCTGGGTGGCTTTCTATAGCGTTATTATTACGACGAGCGGAAGTACGGTATTTTATCAACACATTATTAAGAATTCATTATCGTTTGACAACAATATTTTGTTATAATGGTGAAGTAATTTATAATGCCTTGTCCCTCAATACACACAAAGTTCTTGCCACAAATGAACCACAATACACACGCTTTCGCGACCAATATCATCCATAATAGAGGTTTATTTTTGGGTTAGATCGCGTAAATATATAAATATGTCGTTAAAACCCGCCACCACCCGACACAGTCAATTAGTAAGGGTTGTCACGTAAACAGAACATGTCATTTCATCACGAGTGCAGCACAGCGGTGTGTTGGAGAGCCAAGCCACCGGTGTGCTGCTGTACTAGTGACGAATTGGCCACGTTTCTTGAAAATGTAGATCACATGAACAGAAAGAATCCCGTTTCTCGAAAGCTCATATACACACGTAACCATTAAATACCATGCTAAAAAATATGATCAGCAATGAAATGAAAACAAACTATAAATGTTCACAATAAGCTTAGTATCTTTCACCGAGATCCTTCGTGTGTTGAGTCATGCAATGGGATACTGCGTATGCAAGGTGTGACATTTTACTGGCTCACAGAGGTTATGTATGTTGTTCCCAGCATGCTAACCGAACACATTCTGTTCATGTATGTGCCTTGTTAGCCGCTATGCCACAGTAACCCCAGGTTATGCAGAGTATGTGCATGAAAGAGATAGTTTCCTAGTGCTGACATTTCTGATAAGCACACTGCGCTAAAATCAAGGCAAATCAAGTTTTACTCCTGGCCATTTACAATATAATTGACATGGTATCTGACCCTGTCCTTGGTCTGCCCTGGACTGGATCAGCCTATGCATGTAATAAGTACCTAGTGTGATACTGAACATTATTAAAGAGACAGATGGCCAGGCATGGTGATTGCAATGCAGTCGCCTCTTGTAGTGTGCCAATGTCAAAAGGTGCTCGCTAATGGACCTGATTTCAACAGTCACTATGACGTTTATGTCACCAGGGAATTCCTGCATAAACGGGGTGAGTGGAATGTGTGGGTGTCGCTGTTTGCTTGCGCCCATGTGTGGGTACTGCAATAAAGCATGACTTTCAGTACTGACCTTCATTGATATGCAGGCAGAGGCACATGATGTAATTCATTGCTATGATTGTCACCTTTTCAAATTATGTTTTTAATTGGGCACGTGAACCCTTAATTGTAGGGCTAAAATAGCTTAGAGTATTGACAAAAAGATGAATGTCCATATTTTTCATAAAATCAAATACACATACCATTTGAAATGCACAGTTCCTGAAATTCTCAATGCAAACTGTGGCTGATGCTTGTCCCTCCCTCTGGCAGACAAACCCCACAACCCCATGGTGAATGCAGGCGCCATCGTCATCACGTCCCTCATCAAGGCGAGTTCTTGAGTGTCTGTGCTTTCCAGCAGCCCAACCCGGTCGCTCGTTGCTCGGCAACAGTGCCGCGCCGAACCCGCCGTTGCTAGGCAACCGTTCCCGGGGGGGCACACAGTGCTTGCTTGGCTTTGCTCGGCGATACCTCGATCTGGCGGTGGTGAGAGGGTGGCTGGGGATGTGCATGCTGTTGCCGCAAACCGTGACGTGGGCTGGTTTTTTTTTATTCCCTCGCAAATGTTTGCAGGAGTGGTGTTGGCTGTATGTGTGCTTGTGTGTTCGTTGGTAGGGAAGTGGTAGTTTAGCGCTTCGAACCCAGGAACCCCGGGTTCGATTCCCGCTCACGGCCAACACCAGTGACGATTATTCGTGCCGGTCCCAGGCCCTCCGGTAGGTCGACGCAGCCTCAAAATTAGTACCTGATGCAGTGTGTAAACATCGGCACTGCACTTGTGTACTGTGCCGGCCTTCATAGGTGCTCGCTTAACAGCGCTTTGTTGATTCCTGTGCGTGGCCCGTGGCTCATGTGAGAGCGTGTGTCTGTGCCACGAGAGCGCCTGCCCATGTTGTCTATGCTGTGCCTGCTTGGTTCACGAGGCAGATGAAATCGCTTGTTACACCGAGAATCGTCTAAGTATTGACATTCCAGTGGCTGTATGGGTCAAATGACATGTGATTTAATGAGCTTGCTGATCACGTGTTCACGCGTGTGTGCCAGGGAGACCTTAGCTGTGATGGTTTGGTCACCCAGAATACTGTGCCCCCATTGGGTAGGGAGGCGTAGAGCACAGTAAAATGGACATCTTTGACGTTGACCCAAATAATCGGTTCTTCTGTCTTAAGATGCTGAGACAGCTGCTGCCCGATGTCCATAGCCATTGAGGATACATGCATCCACTTGCATCTGTCCTGTTGAAATGGGCTTTTTTCAGAGGCCGTGGTAACATTATTGGACATCAGCAACACATCAAAGATGAAATGTTTGCAGATGTAGAAACAAATTTACATAATGCTAGCAGGAAGTACCCGGCGTTGACCGGGTCTTAAAAATATTTCAAAACTACTCTTAAAAATTTCGATTTAAAGCGTTCGTGACTGCAGGGATTCATCTTCAATTATTATAATAAAATACAATTTTATTTTATTATGTTTTATTTTTAATATTTTATTATTTCCCTTCTACGTGACTTCACCGAAAGAACCAAGAAGATACTTTTAAAAATGTAACAGCAGTGCGTACTGACTGTGGTGGTACCTGCTATGATTACAGTAGTGCATAGTGTGGTGGTACCTGCTATGATTACAGCATTGCATACTGTGGTGGTACCTGCTTTCACTGCAGCAGTGCATACTGTGATGGTTACCTGCTATTGTTACAGCAGTGCATACCGACTGTGGTGGTACCTGCTATGATTACAGCAGTGCATACCGACTGTGGTGGTACCTGCTATCACTACAGTAGTTCATGCTGACCCTATAGCAGTATTTATCGACTCTATAGCACAAAGTACTCGCCTGACAGAGTGGCGTGGTGAGGCCTAGTCCTGTGCGGTGGTACCTGCTATTATTACAGCAGTGCATACTGTGATGGTACCTCCTATGATTACAGTAGTGCATGCTGTGGTGGTACCTGCTATGATTACAGCAGTGCATGCTGTGGTGGTACCTGCTTTCACTGCAGCAATGCATACTGTGTTGGTAGCTGCTATGATTACAGCAGTGCATACCGACTGGTGGTACCTGCTATGATTACAGCAGTGCATACTGACTGCGGTGGTACCTGCTATGATTACAGCAGTGCATACTGACTGTGGTGGTACCTGCTATCACTAAAGTAGTACATGCTGACTCTTTAACAGTATTTCTCGACTCTATAGCACAAAGTACTCACCTGACAGATTGGCGTGGTGAGGCCTAGTCCTGTGCAGAGCCTCCGGCCTCGCCTAGATTGTCCAGCCGGCCTAGGTGACACCTTGGCAGACTGGGCTATTGCCCCCCTCCCCCCACAGGCACGATCTCCCCGGCCGCTCTGCAGTAATATCTACGGCCTATAGTGGTTGCATCTAGCGACTGTATAGTAGTAATAACTGCACACATCGTGGTGGGGGGGGGACAAGAGACAGTGAAGAATTTACCTGAGCGTTTAGTGTATTTTTATCGCATTTTTAACGCAACCCTCACTCCCACCGAAGGCGTGTGCATGGCCAGTTTTTAAGGCATTTTATTATCATATTCCACTGTTACAATGTTATCAATTGTAACTTTAGTTTTTAAAAGGTATTTGCTACCTAAAATTTGGTGTTAATATATACGTCAATGTCGTGTGGGAAATAGTAGTTTTCTCACATCGCAGTCAAAAGCTTATATCAACAGTGGCTGTGGGAAGCGTTTTTCCTGCCTGCACTGAGCCGTGGTGTGCAGTCAGGCGTTTTAACAGCAGCATTGACGCAGTCTGGGCAACAGCACAGGCAGTCTGGGCAACAGCGCAGACGAGACGCAATGAACACGGCAGCACAATATGAATCAGAAGGAATCCAGGTGGAATTGCTGACATTACGGCTATTGTAATGTATTGAAAACTTCCCTTGACCGATTTAATTTATTTCCCATTGCTCGCTGTGTGTGTTGCGCTGCAGTGCAGAATCCAATAGGCGTGCGTGACTAACTGGTGGTGGTTAAGATCAACAATGGTGGTACTTGACGTGCATTTAACAGACCAGTTAGCAGAGTTTGTACACCATCGATCTCACTTACCATCCTTCCGCTGCACAGCATGGAGCTGTGCAACACATTTTAAAAAAAAGATTGTGTCACTGTTGGTGCACGTACGTCGGCACTTGTCTGCCCTTGGAACAACAACTGTACTGTGTGCTGAATTTATACGCTATCATAAACATTTTTTGCCAGATTTAAAATGTTTTTTTTTGGGGTCTGTCCATCACGACCTTGCCTTGTATGTGGCAAGAATGCATCACGCCTTCTTTGCCACTCGGCTTTGCTGCTGCTTTGGCTGCAATAATCAAGTTTTGTGTTTATAATCTGAGCAGGGTTCGCTGTGGCTTAGTAGCTCTCAAAAAGACTTTCAGGTCATGGTTAGTTTATAGGTAATTTGAATGACACCCCTTCGTTTAAAAAGTATTTTACTCAGCCTATTACCACCCCAGAAACCATATATATAGTGCCACTTTGTAGAAAGTCGGCAGCACTGCCATGGATTAAATGCCAAATTCCTTAAGGATTTCCATAGAGAATCAGCTTGGGGTTTTGGAGGGAAAGCTATTTGTACCTAATTTTAGGAGACATTTTATGGCATTTTTGAAAATGAGAATGACTTGTGTGTTGGAATTGGTTGGAATGAGGCTTTATTTTTTATTTACTGTATGTGCGAGCTGTGAATATAGATGGACAAATGATTACTCTGGAATGCGATTACTAGAGTTGTTCACATCCCAGCTACATGAATCATACAAATATTTGTAAAAATAAATGGGGTTCACAGTGCGAGCAATTAAACAAAAACGTAACATGTTCTAAAAATCATGAAAATGTAAAATGCCTTGCCTATAACACCGCGAAGAAATAACGGACTAATATTTAAGCGTTCCATATGAAGACCAATGAATATGTGCTTATCTGATGTGTGGATCGGTTTTAATGTGTATGCATTGAGCTGTGTGAGTGGATTGGCTACAGAAGGGTTTTCATTAAGGGCATGTTTGTGTACGAGCTTTGAAAAAAGAGGGATGCACAATTCTGGTTAGGGTATCAGGGCCAGGTGCGTGTGGGTTTTCATGATACATGTGGCCAGAGCCAGTGTGTAAGCTATTAACTGCGCTCCAAATTTGAGTTAACAATATTAAGGCACGCTCTATATTTGACATGCATCACTCTATCACTGTATGCTCAGTGTAACTGGTTTCATCTTCCAATGTGATGTCCCCAGTTAATGAGCAGCAGGAGTGATTCAGAATCATTTGCAACACATCAATGGAATTGGCCAAACACTCCAATGCAGAACATTCAGTGAGGCTTTCCTGGATAAATAAATAATATTAATAGTATTTTTTTACTCATTATCCAGGCTTTGTACTCGCTGTTAGGGAGTGGTTGCTTGGAGCTATTGCTTGTGTTGGTTGGTGCTAAATGAGGCCTTTGTATATTCAGTCTAGAAGGGCATCTGTGCTTATTAACGAATTGACATTGATGTAAATTATAGGTACAGTTTTATGTTCTGATACATTATTTTGAGTCAAGAAAATTATACACGTCATTCAAAAAAGCAAAAATTATTCATGCAATGTCAACTGTAACATTGTATTATGTCAAGCGTAAGTGTTCTCTACACATATGTATGCACACGTCTGTATGTATGTAGAGGCCCTTTATATTTGAATGGGCGTTGGTCTACTAGACTCTGGCTTATATGGACGAATGCACTTGTAATATATTAACTTGATGACCTGGAAAGCAGAACAACAAATATTAATCTATTTAGTGTCAGGAAAAATGTAAATCGTTCTTCCGCTGGCTTTGATCTCAGCCATGCTTTTTCCAAGTGAGCCTGATTTACATTGCCTAACAGTGTTTGAGGTCGGTATTGCTTACAACTCACGACTGACTCGCCTATTAACTGCTAAACTATAGTTTTTTTTTTTTACCAGGTAAGGCCACTGAGCTATGTAGCTCTATTTCAATATTTACCTGGCCACAAATGAGAGCTTCACGAAGTGGCTTATCATGTGGAAATGTATAGCATTTTTCTAAATGCAGAGGGAAAAGCCAGAGGACCTGGAGAAAATCCATGCGGCCATAGGAAGAACATGCACACTCTTAATATACAGACGTCAGGGGCAGGATGGAAACCCACGATCTCCTGTATACCAGGCGAGGTAGTTAACATCTCGCCACCATGGTGCCCCTTATCTATTAATGATGCTAAATTCAGTATCCATTCGCCACCTGCAGAATACGCTAGTGGGTTATTATGATCCCAGTGATTAAAA